ATCTTAAGTGCCACCGCCATTTTAAGAAAATTTTCACTTTCCCGCCCTAGGGCCTTTCTCAGAAAAGCTCACTATTTCCTCATACCAACCCAACCCTTCACCACCTACATTAGGACCTGCCAGGCTCTGATTCCTGAACCTGCCCCTTAGGAGTCCTGAAACCCAAGCCTGTTATGTATCTCTGCCTGATCTCCATCTTTCATTTCTCACTTTCCTTTCTCCCATACCTATTGTGATAGTCTCCTCTAACAAAGCCCTCCTTCCTATCTTAACAAGCATCATTTTAAAGCTCTTTCTTTTTCTTTTTTTTAAGAGAGAGAAAGAGAGAATCTTTTTTAATTTTTTTTTTTTTTTTTTTAGTTTTCGGCGGACACAACATCTTTATTTGTATGTGGTGCTGAGGATTGAACCCGGGCCGCACACATGCCAGGCGAGCGCGCTACCGCTTGAGCCACATCCCCAGCCCCTTAAAGCTTTTTCTTTAACAAAAGGCAACAACATATTTTCTAAGTCACCTTAGTTTTCCTTTCTAAACCTGGGCCAGGCCACACAAATACTCTCAGCAGCAAGGAGCCCTATTGTCTTTCTTTTGACAGATGGAGCAGAAGAAAAACTGGTACTTAAAATAATACTGACCACAGCCACTTCTTCTCTAAGGGAATGATCCAAATCACCTCAGAAGTAGCTAGCGCTTTCATTTAGAAAAATCCTATACTTTGATGATAGGCCTTGACTAACTTTCTAATGGAGAAATGTGAGGACCCTTGCTCAAAGTTTAACTGGAGGAGAGCCAGAAAAGAGAGCTGAATGCCACTGTGAAACAGAGAGAGATTAAGGTGGCCTGGAAGGAAGCCAGGGAAAAGGGAGGTGGGGATGAGAGCAAGGGAGAGAAAGCAGAAGGAGCAGGGAGATAAGCAGTAAGGTAGGCCTGAGGGGAAATTCCCGGTGCCTGGCAACAGGAACATGGTGGTGTAAGTTTGTGTACTGGGTTGGTCTGCCACCATGTTCTCTATACCCTGTTATATCCAAGATTCAGAAGTTGGGCACACCCCAAATCCTTAGGTTAGTTTTATCAGAGGAAAAGGATAAAACAAATCAGCAATGGGGGAGAGAACAGAAGAGCCTAGAAGTGACTAGAGGACTAGAGGTGAGTGAATGTCTGGTTTTCAAGAACTTGGCAGAAAATGGGGTTACACCATAAATAGGCCCAGGATAACATTAACCATCTGTGGGAAATTCTCAGAGATAAGAAGATGGAGGGCAAGGGTAAACACCAATGGCTTTCAACAGTATCCCACAAATTATTCTCATCAGTCAATCAATCAATATAATTTCTTTCTCAGAATACATCAAGGAACTTTGAGGAGTAAAAGCACCAGAATGCATGAAAATAGCAACTCTCAGGTAACTGTCAAGAGAAGTGGCATAAAGTACTTGACATGACTCATTTAGGTAGGAAGTGACAGCAGGTAAAATTAAGTCTGAAGTGATGTTATTCCCTTTAAAGAAATATATGATCACAGAGAAGAAAATGCCATATAATTTACATATGTACTTAATTTAAAATGCTGACATTATCAACAGGATGAAATAATTTGTGTTTATGTTTATGAAGAGTTCATTATTATAAAGATTACTTGTGGAAGAAGTCCCATACGACCTGCTGAGATTTATGAATAATGCTATTGAATTTTTCTGGAATATTAGAAAACTTGTAGCACTAAAGAATTTTAATACTAGTTTAGTCCTACCAAAACAGTTAACCTTAGCATCAAGAAAATTAAAATCACAGGAAGGGAATAGCTAACATAAAATATAAATGAAAAGTTTTTTTCCCCCTACTAGTTATTTCAGGTAATTGACTTCCATGGGTAGGAGGTATAACTAAAAATAGATTTTAGAAAATTATTCTACCAAAAGAATACATGATCAAATGTTGTTTTTTTGGGTTTTGTTTGTTTGTTTTGTTTTGTTTTGGGTGCTGGGGATTGACCCCAGGGCCTTATGCATGTGAGGCAAGCACTCTACCAACTGAGCTATATCCCCAGCCATACATGATCAAATTCTAAAATGGTCCTGGACGTGACTCATGCTTTTAGTACAGTGGTTCTCCCAGGGTGGTCCCTGGCCTAGCAAGATGAGTATTACCTGGGAACTGGTTATCCAAAAACTCCTTACCAGTCATTGGTTAAAGGCTACTTCTGGCCATCTTGCCCTGAATATGTTGCCAAAATCCCAATCCTTTTCCCCGATGCTGATCCATTAATGAGGACAGAGTTTGAGAAAAAGGAAAAAGAAGTTTTATTGCTTTGCTAGCAAAGGAGAAATACAGGGGACTTCTGTCCCAAAGGCTGTGATTTTGCCTATCCACAGGAAAAGGGGGCTTTTATAGAGGTGATTCAGAGAAAATAAGATTAGAGGAAGATCAGGAAGGAGAAAATCAGGGAGGAGAAGTTTAGGGTAAAGAAGATTGGGAGAAAGAAAAAAAATCTAAGTTTCAAAGCCACAAGGGATATACTCAAAGCATCAAGTGAACCCCTGTTACAAATATAAGTTGAGTTTACCTCCTTGGCCACAAAAATAAAACAAAAAATGTCCTCAAGCAAAGAGTAGCAGTAGCAGGTGTTTCAATAAGCAGTCCTTTGCATGTCTGGTTGAACACTGAAGGGACATAGCAGGGCACCAATAGCTTCTTCTATGGTCCCCAGATTTTTTTTATATTTTTTTAGTTGTTGTTAGATCTTTATTTTATTTATTTATATGTAGTGCTGAGAATCATCTGCCTACAGTTACCACTCAGCCAATTCAAATTAGTATGGACTGATTAGGTTATAGGTCTCGCAATTCAATCAATCACTTTACCCTCTAAACATTCCTGCACTTAAATATGAGCATTTGGAGACTACCTCATATGCAAACCATAACAATGAGCTTTAGTGATCCCTCTGACATGTTTAATAATCAAGTCTCTCTGTTTTTTTTTTTTTTTTTTTGGTACCAGGGATGGCACTCAACCACAGAGCCATATCTCCAGCCCTATTTTGGATTTTCTTTAGAGAGAGGGTCTCAGTGAGTTGCTTTGGCCCTCACTAAGTTGCAGTGCCTCACACATGCCAGGCAAGTGCACTAGCACTGAGCCACAGCCACAGCCCGGTTCCCAGATTTTTTTATGAGGAAGATCTATGTACCTCAATCAACATTATTATATTAACTTCGACAATGAATTTCATGATCAGAGAGGGATTAAAGGTATCACGTAGTACTCTACAAAATTGTAATCAGACACTCTCCATTTCTCTCTGAGACTGTTCTGGCACAAGCTGAGGGTTGTAGCAGAGAATTCCTGAAGTTGATGAGTGTGTAGTCAGCTTGGTGTCACTTTGACCAAAATACCTGACATGCACAACTTAGAGGAGAGAAAGTTTATTTTGGCTCATGGTTCCAGAGGTTTTGGCCCACAGTTGGCCAAGTCTTATTTCTCTGGGCCTTACATGAGGCTGACCATAATGGCAGAAGGGCATGATGGAGGAGTGCTGCGCCATTCTTGACAGCCAGGAAGCAGAGCGAGGGAGAAAGGAAGGAGCCACCAGAAGAACAATACTTCCAGGGCTCACTACCAGTGACCCATCTACTCCAGCCACACCTCATCTGCCTACAGTTACCACTCAGCCCATTCAAATTAGCATGGACTGATTAGGTTATTCAATTATCGCAATTCAATCAATCACTTTACCCTCTAACATTCCTGCACTTACATATGGGCATTTGGGGACTGCTTCATATGCAAACCATAACAATGAGCTTTAGTGATCCCTCTGACATGTTTAATAACCAAGTCTTTTTTTTTTTTTTTTTTTTGGTACCAGGGATTGCACTCAACCACAGAGCCATATCCCCAGCCCTATTTTGGATATTCTTTAGAGAGAGGGTCTCAGCGAGTTGCTTAGGGCCTCACTAAGTTGCTGAGGCTGGCTTTGAACTCACGATCCTCCTGCCTCAGCCTCCGGAGCTCCTGGGATTACAGGCATGCACCACTGGGCCTAGTCCTTTTAAAATTCTATTTAAATATTGCTGCAGAGCATGATATATTGTATACCCAATTTAAAACAAACAGAAACTCCAATTGGTTTAGGCAACAAATTCATCTAATTCTAACCATCAATTCATAGCAACCGCACAAACTGCCAGCAAGACTAGCAAAATCCTTCTGTGTCCTTCCCTAAAGCTTTATTTTCAGAAACAGCCTTGAAGAATGGACCCAACTGCCTTCAGGAATGACTTCTTTCCCCAGACTCTGTCACTTACCTTTTTATTGGGGTTTAGCCAGGTTTTTCAAAGTCTCTTATTAGTGTTCCATTATAGGTTATCAGACCTCTTTCCCCAGAGTCACCACATAACTTAATAAATGATACACAGTGGTCACATTATTCATTACTGACTTCCTCTAAATTTTCCAGGCCCACTTCACACTCCTAGGTTGATTTTTATATAAAAGATGTCATTCTTACATAAATTATATCATTTATTATGCACTTATCCTTCACCAAAAAAAAAGTGCTTGTATACTCAATATGTACACCTTCTAAGTGAGAGTGCTAATAAGGAAAGTGAGATAACATGAAACCCTTGGTTTCAAAGGTCATCAACTGATCTAGTAGGTAAATCCAGCCTACAGGAGTGCTTTCTTTGTCATGGCTGTTGTGTTAAGTTTGTTTGAAACAATACTTATAAATGGGGAAAATTCATATAAAATAATTCATGCATCTGCTTCCTCTTTCAAAAAGTCAGAGGATGAGGCAGTGCTGGTCACAAAATCTGAGTGGCAACATTAGACAGGGGTTGGGGAATGACTGTCCCCTTCAGATAGCACACACACCCAGTTTATTATAGTTGACATCATCTTCTATTATATACCTGTCCTGCCTACAGAGGCATTGAGTTTGTGACACACCATAAATAAGATTTTAGACACAAAGTTTTGGAAATGTAGCACATCTTACCTTTTACACAGATGCCTCAGACTTAAGGAACTTTCACCTGGAATTTAGGGCACTCCGACCTGATTGACTGCATTCATGTGTATAATTGATGGTACTTGGCCAGCACACCTAGGATGACAGTGGACAGCACATAAAATAATCTAAGTCTATCCACTTCTTTTTGTCCTCTTAGCAATACTCTCCTGGTCCCGTTTCAAGTGAGGCCCTGTTCCTGTCCTACACAGGTCTTCCCCCCAGATAATTCGACACCAATACCAGCAAAACAGAGTAAGTCAGCTGGACCAAAGATGATACTAAAACATGGAAAGAAGTCAACCTTGAGGAATAAGTTTATACTCAAGGGAATAACCTGTTAGAAAGGAAACTGATCTGAGCTGGGGTTGTGGCTCAGTGGTAGAGCGCCCGCCTCACACATGTGAGACCCTGGGTTCTATCCTCAGCACCACATAAAAAATAAATAAATAAAATAAAGATATTGTGCCCATGTATAACTAAAAAAAATTAAAAGGTAACTGATCTTCTTATGGAATGGGTTAATTATGTCTCAGAGCAACCTCAAAAACTTGGTGCCAAAAAAAAAAATAAAAGGTTTGCATAAATGCAGGCTCATATGAAAGGTACATTACTTAGTCAATTGTTTAAAGTTCAACCTTCATATGGATGAAAGGGCAATTGCCAAAAGGTCTGTGTTCCTATTTCACAGTAACTTGTCATAATTAATCTTTGAAAATTCCTGAGCTTAGCTGATTAAAAAAGAAAAAGCCCAAGTGAGTGTTAGCCTTTGAGCATGAAAATGAGATAGAGATTGTATAATTGAAACCTGAGTTTTGAGATGAGACTAGATTCCCCGCTTCACCAATTTCCTCTGGGTTTTCGTCTCACAAATGTTGAAGGGAAAAAAAAAAAAATCCACAGGCAATCACAGAAGGGAAGAGTACACGAGTACATGGAGCAGGATTTATTTAAGCCAGAAAAGATAGAACTCCCGCCATGTGGGAGGGGGCCTGATTGCAGAAAAACCTTATGGTGTGTAGCTTAGGAGTTTATAGCATGGAGTAAAATCTATGTAAAATAGGTATTGAAAAGGTATCCTGACCACCATCCAGGTTCACTTCCATCCCCCTTTTACTAACTTCCATCTGGGGTCACCCCCACCTTCTGTTTTCCACCTCTGGGACTAAGGACTTGACTGGAGATATTCCCAGAAGTGAGCCTCAAGGTTTTTTTACATTTGAAATGGGCCTTGACAGTGCTCCTGAATATGTCTATGAGTTTGCCTCCAGGTGTGGTTGAATGGGGCTCCTTACCCTGAATGCCAGGTCATTTTACAATCTATTGTATTTTATCCTCATTCATAATAATATAGAAACGGATTCTGTTGTCATGTATAACTAAAAAGAACCAATAAATAAACTTAAAAAAAAAAACCACAAGTGGTCAAAAGAGGAGGCAGGAGAGGCAGAGGGAGGAAGAGGAGAGAGAGAATAATAGAGATGGGAAGTTCTTATTTTGAGGATTAAGGATCAAACTCCTGTCTTGGTATCTTTGTTTCCCACTCAAAACCTCAAAGCATACAACCTTATGAACAATAGGATGAGATAATACAAAGAATGAAAAATTCAATGCAAATAAGTGGGTATTAAAGCCCATCTTGCACTGATTCATACGGAAGCACAAGGTGAGGCCGCTACTATTGAAGAGATGCATCCCCTGAGAGCAGGACTTGGTGGGGCCGCAGGGCGACTAACACATTGTCTTTGCCACCTGTGTTTAATGCAGGGATATTCTCAGTGAGGGAAAACCAGTTAAGAAAGGACATCCCTAGATAAATTTCTCTATTCATTTTCCAAAAAGATCTCCTAATTAGATCCTGCAGATTCTACAGGTCCCATGAAAATACATCTTATCCTTATGTGCTACTGTGAAAATAGAGTTGAAGTTGTGCACTTGGATCATATATGCCCTTCCCACATATTACCCAATACTGCCTTGGTTCTTCTATCCCCCCGCACAAGATTACAGCCCAAACTGCTGCCATGATAGAACATAATGGGTTTTTTTATATGTTCTTTTTAGATATACATGATAGTAGGGTGTGTAATGGGCATATCATACACACATGGAGTATCACTTCCCATTCTTGTGGTTGTACATGATGTGGAGTTTCACTGGTCATGTATTCATATATAGGAAAGATATGTCCAGTTCATTCTACTGTCTTTCCTATTCCCATCCCTCTCCCTTCCCTTCATTCCCCTTTTGAAGCAATAATAAAACAGATTTTGTCTGGGTTGGGAAATCCCTGAATTTACCAGGCCCATCTCTTGCCCCAGACAGCATTGGTTTATATACATTTGCTGTGTACCTTAATCATGTGATCAGGGTAAGAAGACAGATAAGAATTAACACAGAAGCCAAATGCAGTGGCACACACCTGTAATTCCAGTGCTCTGGAGGCTGAGGCAGGAGGATCACAAGTTCGAGGCCAGCCTGGGCAATTTATGGAGATCCTGTCTCAGGATGTTTTCACTTGCCAGCTTAGGCAAATTAGTGAGATCCTGTCTCTAAATAAAAATAAAAATGGCTGGGTATGTAGCTTAGTGGTAAATCCTTAGTTACCACGTAAAAAATAAATTAACAGGGGATTCTATACTGGTACTCTGTTGATCTGCTATATTGCTTTTCTATGGCTCTGTAACAAATTTCCAGAAACAGCAGCTTCTAACAATACTCATTTATTACCTCACAATTCTGAAGGTCAGAATTCCAGGTGGACTGGCTAGGTTCTCTGCTCAATCTCACAGGACTGAAATCAAGGTGTTGGCTGCACTGGGCTCTTATCCAGAGGCTCTAGGGCGAGAATCTGCTTCATCTAAAGTTCATTTAGGTTGGTGGCAGAATCCCTTTCCTTGCAGTTGGAGAACTGAGTTCCCCACTCCTCTTCTGATGGCTGACAGCCTCCCTTGGCTTGTGAACACCATCATATTTCATCTCATGTAGTCCCCTCTGCCTTCAAAGCTACCAATGGTGCATTGTAGCCTTCTCCTGTTTTGAATCTCCCTGGCCTTCCCTTCTGCCCTCTTCTACCTTTAGTGAGAAAATTCTCTGCTGTAAGGGCTTATGTGTTTTGATTAGGACTAAACTGATAGCTTACATGTCTGGGTTCAAGGTAATATATGGCAAAATGTACATTGATTTGGCAGGTACACTTTCTAAAAATGACCCCAAGAGCCCAGGTCCCCATCCCCAAAACCCATGAATGTAATTAGATACCATTTCTGAGACTATATCTTGTTAAATGGTCACAACAATACCTCCCATCACATGTTTTTCTGCCATCTTTTGCTCTCTTAATTGTCACATCTTCTTGATGGATTGACAATTTTATCATTAAAAAATGTGCTTCTTGCCGGGTGTGGTGGCACATGCCTGTAATCCCAGCAGCTCCAGAGGTTGGGACAGGAGGATTGTGAGTTCAAAGCCACCTTCAACAATGGTGAGGCACTAAGCAACTTAGTGAGACCCTGTCTCTAAATAAAATACAAATAGGGCTGGGGGTGTGGTTCAGTGGTCGAGTGCCCTGAGTTCAATTACCAAAAATATATATACACACACACACATATTTCTTCATCTCTAGCAATAATTTTGTTGTCTTCTTTTTTTAGGTACTGAGGATTGAACTCTTACTGGCAAGCTTTATTTCTTCAGATAGAATAAAAAGAGTTACAAACAAAAATGTATTTATGCTACCTTTTATATATTCATCTATGTAGTTAATTTCCTGTTGTGTTTTATTTCTTCATGGTATTTGAATAACTGTTTATTGTCCTTTCATTTCAGCCTAAAGGACTCCCTTTAATATTTCTAGTTTGAGCAAGTCTGCTATCGATAAATTAATTCAGTTTTTATCCATCTGGGAATGCCTTAAACTTGCCTTCAATTTTGAAGGATAGTTTTGATAGATATAGAATTTTTGGTTGACAGGAGTTTTTTTTTCCTACTTTCAACACTTCAAGTATATATCAACACGGAAACTGAGAGGGAAGATGGCCGCTGCGTACGGGGGTTGCTGAAGTGCTGAGCGTGGTGCTCAAAGCAGCGGCTTTAATAGAGATTTCGCACAGTCTGTTAAAGCTCCTTTCACCGTTAATCTGTAGTGGACCACTTTGCCAAGGAGCAGGAAGAACAAAGAAATCGAAAAAGAGACGCTTGGCTGCTCAGAGCCGCGGGCGCTTTGCTCCCATCTGCTTCCTCTTTCGCTTCGCTCCGGGCGGAGAAGCTGAATGTGCAATCAGCAGTGGATTGTAAGTACCCGGGGCAAAGAAAGCTCAGTGCGCCCCGCCTTTTTTTTTTTGTTTTTTGAATATTTTTTATACAGGGAGAGTTTGTGGATTGGGATTGCTGGCGGGGCTGTGGTTTCTGTGCCGAAAATCCACTCCGCGGGAGCCGCCATTTGCTTTCTGCTTGCTGTCTTGATGGCTCCGTATACACTGTCCGGCAGCCGCACCTAGAGGTTGCAGCTGGGCTGCGTGCCGAGCCCTGTCCTCCGAAGGCTGGACTGCAGCCTCGAGCGTCTCTGTGGCCTGTTCGCCGCTGCACCTTCGGGCAGAGCCTGCTCTGGGGTCGTTCTGCACCCCCCTGCCAGGGGACCCGTGCTCCGGAGGAGGGGGACGGAGAGCCGCGGCGGCAGCCGCTTGGGCCCCTGGGGCCTGGCACCGGGCTGAAGAGCTGCGGAGGCCAGGGCGGCTCTGCTACGGGCGCAGACAAGCGCGGACGCTTGCCAGGGCGGCTCTGCTACGGTCGCAGACAAGCGCGGACGCTTGTCAGCGCGGCCCAGAGTTTCATTTCTAGAAATCTGGACTGGAAACAGAAGCAGCAGTTTGTATAATCCCAAGAACTTGCTTATACCAGGAAGCTGTAAGGGCAACATGAATATTACTGAGGAGATGTAACATGGTGGCAGGCGCAGAGAGATCAAGTCTCTGACATCTTCAACTGTGAGGGCATAGGGAGCCGTAAACTGTCTAAATGCTGTTTGCTCAGGATCACTAGGCAATGCTGAGCTGACGTGGATCTGGGGTGTACAGGCTGGGCCCCTCAGAACACAC